TCAACATTGAGAAAAACATAAATATAATATTTTTGTATCGATAATACCTCTGCTCATGAAAATGCCATAAATAACAAAATAAATAAACAATACACCAATTACCGACTCAAAACTTTTTAAGTTGATCAACAAGTATTTTATTGATTACAAAACCATTAATGTACACTTGTATAATATTAACACCAATTAACTTCTAAACATTGGAATCATCAAAACCTTAAATTCTTCCATTTTGAATTTCAACTCCATTTACCTAACATGAGTCTTGATAACTTCCAGGAATTGATCGACGGTGTTCAGAAACTCGTATTTCTCGCTCATGGTTCTTCTCTTCACAAGCTTAGGATCAACTACAATCTAAAACAAAATAGTACATTGAAAACCAACAGTAAAACAATATTCATAACTTTACCTTGATAATGTTAAAATCAAGATTAACAAGAAAATCAATTCAACAGATATGTATGTGCTTAATTGAACAGATATGTATGTGTTCAATTGATATGTATGTGGGTTTCTAAAAAACAATAAAATTGCTACCAGTTCACAAAGCAAAATTAAGAACAAAATCATGGCCACACTCAACATATTAGCAAAAATCAACAGTAAAAATAAACAACAAAACTAGTAAAAACAAATAACATTCAATGAGAAACATCAACATATCATCAAATTTTGGAACAGGACAGGAAAATCAACAGGAATAGAACATCAAACATCAACAAGGAACTACAATTGCAACCCATATATATGTTCAATAGATAATGTAACGCTCGTAGATCCGGGCTAGTCAATTTAGAGATAATAAGGGTCGAAAACGACTTTTCGAGAAAAAGGATTATTTAGAATAAATAATCTTAACCAAGTTATACAATACGTCTCAAGGGTTCCGTACATATAAAGAACGCCGAAATCTGAGTTATAACGAAGAAGTTATTGTCCGTCGAATTTTACGGCAAAACCGACACGACACTGGGAGACGTAAATAGTGAATTTACGATGGATGACTTTTTAGCCTTAGAAATATAAACAAAAGTTTTAGTATTCGTTAAACCAAGACATACAAAAAAAGAACGCCCAAATCTGACTTCGTATGAGGATTGAAGATCTCATTAATAGGAACTCAACGGTAAAAAGACAGACAAAAATAGAGTCCGTATGTAGAAGTTATGAATTTTACATGGATATTTACCAATATAATCTTCTCGTACTGATAAATTTAAGATCGGTAGAGAATTAGCCAACGTAGTCAAAATGAAAGTTGTATATCTTATTTTTACCTACGTGTGGATATAAAGAACGTAAAAAACGGAGTTCGTATGTGAAAGTTACGGATTTTAGAAGTCGGAAGTGTGTTGTGCGAAAATGGGTGATGTGGCACAATCTTGGTTATTGCTTTCTCCCCAAGTCTTACCACCAGACGGTGACATGTGGCACCAAGTTCAGTCATACTTCACCCTATAAATAGAACCTCTTCCACCCTCATTTTTTACACGCATTTCCCATTCTTTCTTCTTTTTACTCTGTTACTCTCTCTAGAACCCCTTCTCTAGCCCCGAAACCCCCCCCCCCCCCCCGAAAAACCTAGGGAACCTCCTTAGCACGAGGCGGAAGCCCCGGAGTGCTCGACGGCTCCGAGAAGAAGAGCTTTTTAGCTCGGGAATGCTACTCCAAGCAAAGCCCGGTTTTCTATAAACCCGTTATAAGTGAGCTACGCCTATGCTATTTTTAATATAGCTTTTATTTAATTATAGTAACGTTATTAGGAACTTATAATATATACTTAGGCAATTATTATAGGTTATATAAGTATTGTTTAACGCTTATATAATAGTAATAATAGCAAGACTATTAATTAGTCTCGGCAAATAATAGACTAAACTCTAGTGATAATAATACTAGGTTTTGTCGAAGGAAATTATTTTTAAGAAACGAAGCACTGTCTGAGTTCGGAATCACCACCTTTTCAAGTGGGTGTATGGTCCATTTTATCTTACACATAGATATGAAGTATTTTATATAAACTATGTGTTATGTGTGTATATTATCTGTATACTTGCTATCTATGCTAGATGAACGATTTTATATAAGTTTTATATGATTTAAACTGTATATGTATTTATATCTACGTAATATGTTAGGTAAAACATGGGTAGATGAAGTATAAGTTGAGAGGTGATATAGACCAAGAGGTAAGGGTGAGAGGTGGACGATGTGAGAAGCCTTGTTCCCAAATGCTGGCCCGGTCATCTAATAGAGTATGGATGACAACCACGGACTATTCTAGACAGTCTAGTGGAACACTAGCAGGCTCGCAACCTGTAGGTGTTGTGAACGATGTGTTCACCGGTGTACTCTAAAAACCCATTGACATGTATTCCGAGTGGACTCTTGAAAACAATACTATCAATAAACGAGATAACCCTAGTAGTTGTGCTCAAAGGATAATACTGGCAACTGCACCTCACATAGAATGTCACGATTCTGGCAGTTGCGCCTAAGTGATAGAACTAGCAGCTTTGCTTGACAGCTGTGTCATTGACAACGATGGACTTCATACCTATTCGTTAGGATAATCGTTAAGAATGAATGAATGAGAAATTGTTGATTTTTAGGGTAGATCCTTAAGAGTAAAGAAGATAATTGGAATGGATAATTGGGTTAACTGTTTGATGATTAAAAATAATAATTATATTATTGTGGGTTGAAAACTCTATGTACTCACTAGGTTTTCCAACCTTACCCACTCATTTTATTTATATTACAGATGTTGATATGAAGTCACATTACACTGAGAGATTAAGGAGAGATAAAGCACTAGTGATAATGAATGTAAGTTCTGTTTATGCTTAGGTTTTTATATTGACGATGATATCCCAAATGTTTTAAAATGAATAAAAATACTTTTCTTCGGAAATTCCCTGATAACGTATTTATCATGTTTCACTGGAAACAAATTCCGCAGATTTTTATTAAAAAGCGGTACTCTAATTTTTATAAAGCATAAATTAAATCGGTTTTTTCTGGCCGTGAAAATGAAGATGTCACAGATAAATCAGAAATCGGAACCTATTCTCAGTCAACTATATGCATAAATCAAAGAAATCTGAAAAATCTGAAATACAAAAGGAACACAAATAAAAAAAATGAACAAAAACATCGGAAATAAAAAAGGAACATAAATCAAATCGAAACACATACTTGATGAGAAGAGGTAGTCTATTGAGGATGGCGATGGCGACGACAATAGAGGATGGAAGCGATGATGACAAGGCTGGATGATGGCAGCGATATCACATAAATGAAGGATTGTCGTCGCTGAGATGATAACGATTTGGCAGGAATGTCTATTGTTCAAGGCTGGAGGAGAGAGACGCAAAGGGTAAAAATGTGAAGGTTCTTAGTCAGCTAATTATTTTCACAGGCTTAGTAAGAAGCAAAATGATTAGGTCAGACCTTTAAATGTGCAAATCAAACAAACTCATCTGGCCGAATCAGAGAAAAAACTTTGACTGAACTCAATCAGATTGAAATCAAACAGGGCCTAAGTTAAATTTACAAAGTTTCCTAATTCGCTTGCGGACAGGTTTGAACCCTGGACCTCCAATCTAAAAAGCTTTCACATCTATCAAATGGATTAATCCCACATTAATAACAACAAACGCTAGTTTTACAAGATATTGGTACATTCCTATTTTGAGCTACCAAACGACCGAGCAACTAGACCAATACTTAAGGATGCTATCATTTGTAGCTCTATATTTGATTTGGATTAAAATGCCATTAATAACATAGGGCGTGTTTGGTAAACTAGTTGGTAGCGGGTAGCGTTTGATTTTGGAGTGTTTTGTTGAAAGCTACTACATATAACTTTTGATTTTGGAGCGTTTTGTTTAAGCTAAACGTTAAACGTTCCTGTCGCCTAACAAGATTTTTTCTTTTTTAGTAGCTTTTTGTTAAAAACTAGAAGCCAGAAACTTCCAAAAACTACGTTCCGAACACGCCATTAATCTCACCTTTACAACTCTTTGCCATGTTCTTGAAAACAATCTCATCTCCATGATTCCAAATCACCCACACAAACCCCGAGAGAATAATCATGATGTCCGAATGTGCTTTATGAGAAAGATTCCTATTGTTTAGTTTTATAACATCACTAAACAAATCACATAATGATTTTCAAATACACTACATGCCATTTAAGTTTTATTGTCACAATTAGCAACTCATTTTCTTTTTAATTGAATTACTTTATTTTAACAATTTGCTTTAAAACACATAATCATTCCATATTACAATATGATGAAGATATTATTCTAATTAATACAATATCATTCCAAACCTATAGTTAAACGTGTCTCAATATGCACTAAACACATTTTGGTGGTTTAACTAGTTTTCCATATTTTTGAGTAATAGTTGTCTCGATATTAGTGGTCTTTTCCCATAAAGTGTCATTTATGTGTACACATATTCTGTATTATCAATTTTTTTTGAAAGAGCTGTTTATCAATTTTTATTTACTCCATATGCTGATATACATGTCTTTAGTGAATAAAGGATGTGATTTTTATGTGTACACATATGATTTATCAGTTTTTATTAATTTACTCCGTATACATCCCTTTAGTGAGTTAAGCGTGCATGAATATATTAAATAAAATTCTTTCTATCTACCCTAGCCCTACGTAGTCAGTATAACCACTCCCTCAATTATACATATAGAACTATACATGCTAAGATTAATCATTAATCGATGAGCATCTAGTGAAATGTAACAACAGCTGAAAACTTCATTAAGAACCATGACTTTGCAAATGAGAAGAAAAATACCTATTCTTATACTTTTACCTGATGGAAATTAATAAACACCTTTGTACAAAGTCTAGAATAAATGAATAATACTATTATACATATTCTCATTAAGATAATGACATAAATTACAAAATCGTGGTGGTCCTAACACTTTTCTAGCTAGGGTGAAAACTGTTGTTTTCAAACTACAAAACATGCAGTTGAGCAGAAAGGTAGACAAATGTTTCTTCATGGCAGGGAATAGTAAGTCCTCCCATTGGATGGTAGAATCCATATTCTTCTTCTGACCTACGTAACAAATCTTGGAACAAGGGTTGGTCCAAGTAAGACAAAGGCACAACAAACCGCTTCTTTTGGGTTTCACCAACATACACAGCCAAGTGTCCTTTGGGAACATCTCGTTGGTTTTTCTTGTGCATTTTCATCATCTGTTTCAGATTAGCAATCATCCAATGCATACGGAAAACGCCCATGTATCTTGATCAACAAAAGATGTTATTTTTTAGGAAACTACGATTTGTGGAATTGAGGAACTAGATTTGGAGGTTGGCTTTGATGGAGCCTCGAGTACGAAGCTTTCAATTTATAGTGTCTAGTACAATCAACTAGCCAGCTATCTAAATGGAAATCTGATAATGGATGATGCTAGACGGGGCCTAAGTCATGTGTGGGCTCACATGGCTTTACTACGTTTATCACCCATCTAATATATATATATTTTTCTATCATACTCTCCACTCCGTCATAAAATAATGGCCTACTTGTTTAAACAAAATCAAGATCAGAAATGAGGAAGACCTTATTTTTTTATAATGGGCAATAATAATCAGTCATTCACGTTCAAAATACCACATGTAGTCAAGTAATGAACCAAATGCCATTTTTGATTGAAAAGAATGCAATCTGATCAGTGTTGTTATATTTTAGTTGACCAACGAAATTACGGAAGTTAATTTAAAGTTCATGTGTCAAAGTCCACGATCACATACATTTGACAAAGAACAAATTAAGTCACCTTTATATAAATCAATTTAATTAATATAACGAATCGTGTCAGGACCAATCATTTCCATGAAACACTTATTGATGTGTTAAAATACACATATTATTTTCAAGTTGGCCAATGTTTCGAGGGTTGCAAGATGCCCCTTATATACAATCTGTTTGAAAGGTACATATAATAACATAAGTGGCCTGATTGTGATGAGAATAAATATAGGCAATAGGCATATAGCCCACTGTTCTATTCTTACAACCTTTTAGAAGCCATAGTATTTCCAAAAATGCCAATTGTATATTGCTATTAATTTTTTTTGAAATTTTGCAACTGCCCATCCCGTGGAGTGGGACCATTGTCAGTGCCTTATTCTTGCATGTATCTCCTACTATTATAGACGTAATGGGCTACAAGTCGCAAAACCATGCGAAGGTGTACAACCACCAGAACTCATATTACAAATATATACGAAAGAACAAAATTTAAATAATTGGAAGATATCAGAATTAAGGATGAAAACAGATTCCCAAAAATTAATAACATTGTGTTTTTGTTCAAGGAGTCATGAATATACGTTGAGATATGCGGCAGTCGACGTAGCCAAATGTTTACTCATACTACGGTAATCATACTGATGGATTTTTTACCAATTGAAAATAATTTTCTTGCTTTTTTTAGATCTAAGAGTGCTATCAATAAAAAATGTCGTTGTAAACAAAGAAAATGGAGGCGAGAAATAATCTGTGTCGATATGGAAATGTGTCGACATGGAAATGAGAGTTTTTGTGCACAATGGTGTACTTCAAATTTTATTTACCATAGTCCGAAACTTGTTTACAAAATTTGTAAAAACAAATGTTGACCAACCTTTTATTAAAATAACAAGAAAAATAAATGACCACCATCTTTTTCATCTTTTTAACCGGCGCCTAATCGGTTTCAACATTTCATCCTTTACTGTTACATATAAAATGGTTATATATTATTCGGACCATTTAAATTATATATATATATATATATATATATATATATATATATATATATATATATATATATATATATATATATATATCACTACAAGAATAATGACTATTAGTGGCGACAGACGTCGGCGCTAAAGATCCCGAATGTCGCCGCTAATACGTTTAAGGGTTGCCGTTGTTGGTTCGTCGTTAATATCCAATTTGTCACTGTTAATGCTTACCGTCGCCGGTAATTGTAGTTTTCTTTTTTTTTTTTTAGTTTTTTTTAAACATTTTTTCCATATAAACAAACCTTATAAAATTATAAAACCTATTATAAAAATATAAAAACTTTATAAAAACATATAACCAAAAACACATCCATACATACACAATACACATACAAAAACATATACATACATATACAAAAACACATATACATACATGATACACACACAACAAAAAATGACACCTTTAGGGACGACAAAAAGCGTCACAAATAGTCAAGCAAGTCGCCCCTAAAGGTATTAGGGACGATATGTCGTCCCAATTGGGTCGCCGCAAATACCTCGTAGCTAATACTCAAAAATCGTCCCTAAAGGTGTCGTCGCTAATACCATTTGTCGTCCCTAAAGGTGGCGTCTCTAATAATATTCCGGCAACCGGCCAATATTATTCCGGCCAAATATTCCGGCGGGATGTGTCGTCACTAATGCTGAAGATCGTCCCTAAAGGTGTCGCCACTAATGCTTGTTTTTTAGATAAAATTTATATTTTATATTAGTTTATATTATAAAAATATAGAATTTATAAAATTATAAAACTTATAATTTAAAAATCTGCATTACATAAAACATCAAATAGCATAGAGAAAGTATATCACATTAACATCATCTAAATCCATAATTAAATCATCCATATCATAAAACAATATATATTAATCATTGTCCTCATCATCGTTTTCCTCGTCGTTGTTGGTTGCATTGTCAACTTGCTTGCTAAATGAGCGGATAATATCTCCAAGTGCAGTCACAAACACCGGGTTTTGGAGAAAAGCGTTAACATCCACATCCTACAAAGTAAGAATATAAGTTAAAATATATCATAGTATAAGAACAAATTATTATTAATTAACAATTAAGTCACAAACACATGAAGTCGTTAACAATTTAACAAACTACCAAATTCATAACAATTTAACAAACTAACAAACTAACAAGTTACCAAACTATCAAATAACAAAATTCACAACAAATTAATAAGTACCTGTGTTGGTTGTGGTGTTTGTGACTGTGACTGCCACTGGGTCGGAGCACTTGTACCCACTACGGAAGGCTTAGGCCCGATGCCTCTCACATGTCCCCTTCGAGCACCTAACACCTTCTCAAATAAGGCTATCCAATCAATGGAGTTCGGATCACCACCGGAGTCGGCTATGTGTTGGGTTTGTAAAGCAACCTCAGCAACTAAAGCATTCTGCATTTCACGAAGATTGTTAATATACTTCAAAAAAAAAAAAAAAAAAAAAAAAAAAAAAACAATATTCTACTTCATTTTTAAGTAATAATAACTTACATATTGTTCTTCAACTAATGGGTCAACGAATTCCCCTTGTTTATTAACATGTGCACGATGAAATACTTCAAGTTTATTCAAATTCTGTTTAACATTAAAAAAATATGTTATACTAAAATAAACATTACAAAATATGTTATAACTAAATAAACATTAATATAACTTACATTTTTGAAAGAAGCACTACCGTAACTGCACGTCCCTCCACGATTTTTAACTACTTGCTTCTTTCGGCATTCTTTGTTTACACTGGATCGTTTACAATGTGTATCAGTTAAGAAGTGGTCAATAGTAGCACTCCAACGCGCTGAATCCATACCCACAGGGGGTCAAGCCCTTGCTGCCTCCGCACCGTCTAGCATATCTATAAATTTACTTTTTGCAATATTTTTGCGGCCTCTATACCGCTGACATATCCGATGGTTCAGTTATGCCCATAAAATTCTAGCATCAGGATCATTTGAAATATTAATAAATTTAGCCGATGCATTTTCTTGTTTACTGCCATGCCTCTTCATCTGGGAGGTACAGCTGCAAAAAATATTAATAAATTTAAATATAGTTTTTTATATATATACAATATGAAATATAATGAATTAGAATAAATCTTAATTACCATCAATCTGGTGAACACCAAAATCTCCACCGAACGGATGTGGTGGCTCGTCACCACCATCACCTCCATGGCCCATCACAGCAGCCATGAGATGAACCAATGCAACCCAGAAAAATGACACGAGTGCAGGAACGGATCTAGAAAAAAGATATAGGGTATGCAATGTTTACACAAATACATATATAATACACATATAAAAACACACACACATATATTTATATATATATATATATACACACACACACACACACACATATATATATATATATATATATATGCATACTAATACACAAATACATACATAAGACACATATAAATACACATGCATATACAAAATACACATTCTACATATAAATGAGTTCATAAAAAAGGGAAAAATGAAGAAGGAGCTGAAGGGGTTATATTTGCGAAAGGAATTAGCGCTGACACCTTTGGGGAGAATTTTGATGGTCAATTTTTTTGAGTATTATCGGCGACATCTTTGGGGGGAAACTTTGGCGGTCAAAATTTTTGAGTATTACCGACAACACCGTCGCTGCTATTGGTATGTACGTTATCGATTTTCAGTCGTTGGATTAGGGACAAAATCAACGGCTAAGGATTTACCTCATATTTCGACGCGGATCGGGTTTGATGGGTATTAGCGGCGACAACCACTTTTAGCGGTGACACATAACGCGACAGTTATGTGTCGCCGCTAATGCCCATTATTCTTGTAGTGTGTGTGTCTATATATATATATATATATATATATATATATATATATATATATATATATATATATATATATAATGGGTTTGGATCTCGTAGGAATCCAAAAATTAATAGAAACTGCGATAAAAATACTCTACTAATCATTTTATCAAAAGCACAAAAATTAATAGAAACTGCGATAAAAATACTCTACTAATCATTTTGTCAAAAGCACAAACGTCAAATACATTTATTTAGCCGCGAGGCGTTCACATTCGACACACCTCCATGAATCATAATACGGACTCGAAGAAATAATAATGTACCACGAATGTCCATAGAACGTTATTTAAATATATATTTCTTCATTTTTTCGTTTTTTTCTCTCTCTCTCTCTCTCTCTCTATATATATATATATATATATATATATATATATATATATATATATATATATATATATATATATATATATATAGACAAAATTGCAAAAATGGTCCCTGTGGTATTCAAAATTTTGGGGTTTTAAACCACGAGTTTTTTGGACCCATGGTCCTTTTGGAGTGGTTCCTATGTGGTTTTGGTACCTGGACTTAACTCCCGTTAAGTTGGATCTGTTAAGCCCCCTCACGTGCCTCACACGTGAGGGTAATTTCGTCATTTCATATATTAGGGACCGGTTTTGCATAAACGTTTTTTGGATTAATTCCTTTTAAATACCCCCACTTCCTGTGATCTTCTTCCCCAACGTTCCCCAACGTCTCTTTTCTTCTACCCTTCTTCTTCTTGAGCTCTGCTACAACAAAAATGGTGCTATGTTTTTGTGGAAAAGTTGTTGTGGTGAAAACGTCTTGGACCCTTTTGAATCCAGGAAGGGGGTTTTTTCCATGTCCTATGAATGATTCCGTTTGTCGGTTTATTGGGTGGCTTGATCCCCCACTGTGTGCTAGGGCTAAAGCCATCATACCTGGTTTGCTAAGAAATTTGAATTCAGTGCAGGAACGGTGCAATGAGTTGGTTAGAAGTATGAACATGCTACAGGATCAATGCAATGGACTGATATACAGGAACAACATATTGGTGGCAAATGTCAACGCATTAAAGGATGACAATTTGAAGCTGAAAATGTACATGTTTGGAAGTTGGTTTTTCTTTGTGATTGTATTCTTCTGTATTTGGTTTGTGTAGGGTAGGGGTATACTGTGAAGGGTGTTTTGTCATTTTGTTGTAATTTTATGTGATCATGTTTGTAGTGACTTATGATGATAATGATATATGTACAATTTTATGATGCAAGTGTAATGAATGTTTTACCAAAATGGTATGAATGTATCAGAATTAACATATGAATAGAAATGGTATGAATGTATTACCAAAATGTATATATTAGAACCAATTGTACATGACCAAAATGCACATTTCATTAAGACTTGTAATATAACAACCAAATTTTCTAAACATAACAACCAAAGATTCTAAACATTACCGAAAGGGACACATTACCATACCTAAGATAACAACCAAGTTTTCATAACAACCAACCAAAAGTTTTCAACAAAATATTGTAAACATAACAACCAAGTTTTCATAACCAACCAAAATCACAGAAAACCCCATGCATGCATGACACATTACTTCTTAGACTAATTACCACCTTGCCCTTTACAGGTCCTAGAGTTGTGTCCCTTGTTCTTGCATTTGCTACAAGTAACACTGATATGCTTCCTTGATAGCTTCTGCACTCCATCATTTGTTGGTTTTTGGGAACCTCCTTCTTGTGTAGCATTCACTCCATCACCTTGACATGCCTTCTGCTTTTTACTTAACCTTTCACCCTCACTTTGTCTTCTTTTTTTCTTAGGCCTTCCCACCTGAGTGCGATGTGGAGGAGGGATTAGCTTCGTGGGACATTCACTTTTGGGCCACATAGATCTACCCTTAATTGGCTCCACCTTAAAAGAATAAGCCTTTTTCCATGTCTCTAAAAAATACACCTTGTAAACCCATTTGTAAATGTCAAGCTCAGCCTCTGGGTCTTTACTCATCTCATTTAGAGTTGCAATTGCATGTCTGCATGGAATTACAATCAATTCCCATTTTCTACAAGTGCATGTTTTGTTCCTAACATCAACCACATGTTGATCCTGCAAAGCTCCTGTGACTTGATACTTGTCTCCCCCATTCCACCTAGCAATGTATTGTGAAGCAACTATTTTTCTTGCACCTAGGATGTCTGTTGCTGTGGGTGTTAGTGGACCTTTAGCCTTTTTCATTTCCTTCATGACATTGCGTATCCTCTTCATTAGATACTCCCTTATGTATTATAAACATCCAATGATAGGTTTATCTCTTCCTTTCTCTATCTTCCCATTAAACACTTCACACATGTTTGGTATCAACACATCAGAAATTGCTCTTCCTGTGTGTACATTACCATTAAAAAAACATTTAATAAAATTCACATACAAGTAAAACAGTTCACTAAGTGAAAGACATAAGGACCAAATTGGAATATATAGATTTACCTGAAAAATGACTCCTTGCCCAATGTTTAGGAGGAATTTGTTTCAACCATTCACATGCCTCCTTATCATACTGACTAAACTCCTTCATCAAATGTTCAAACTCAGGAATGGTGGTAGTTGATGCACACCTTCATAAGTGGTCCCTGTACTCTGTTTGCCTCCATCTTTTCCTCATATTGTCATGAATATGTCTGATACAATATCTATGCTCAACATTGGGAAACAATTGCGTAAACCCTGCAAAAATCAATTATCAATCATTAGAATTAATTAAAACCATACTTTAAATAACCAAATGTATAAAAACCACTTCTAGCTTTACCTTTTGCCTGTCACTTATGAAAGTAAAATTTGAGTTTCTTACAAGATCCAAGTCATCCCCAAGGTTATTAAAAAACCATTTCCAACTTTCTGTGTTTTCATACTCAACAATCCCATATGCTAATGGGTAAATTCCATTATTGGAATCAACACCAACTGCTGAAAGGACCTGCCCAGGGAATGGTCCTTTCTTGAAGGCACCATCAAAACCTAATAAGTCCCTAAGGCATGCCTTGAATCCTTTTTTCAGTGGACCCAACACACATAAATTCTTCTAAATTGCCTGGCTGGGGAATCAGGGTTAGGCTCAAAACATACATCTATTTTCACTGTGGTGTCTGGGTTGGTGGCTTGAAGTTCGAGAACATAGTCCTTCAACAATCCATACTGCTTTTTGTAGTCCCCAGTTATATGCTTTCTTACACTTCAAGAAAAAGAGCCTTTTAGGACGCGCAATCCACGACACTCGTTGATTTATGTTACGCAAAAGAGAGTGACATTAAAAAAGTGTCATCCCTTCAAAAAATTTAAGTATTTAGGTCGCCCATTGTTGCGTGCCCTTAAATTAGTGTCTCATGTAAAAAAATAAAAAAAACACGGAGGGCACTTTATCTAAAATGTGCGTCATCTATGAATGTCCTTTTATACTTTTTTTAAGAAACGCGCGTCTCCTTAGAGGAAAATGAAATCCCTAAATTTTTTAAACCCCCGCCTTCTTCTCCCTTGTCTCCACCCAGACCATCACCCACATTCACCGCCTCCAATCATCGTTGCCTCCTCTAGCCTCAGACTGCACGTACTGTTCATCTTATAACAAAATCGTAAGGGATCTAAGGTTTTTATAAAAGGATGCTCTCTGAAAATTTCGTTACATCTGCTCACTTCCGCTCACCTCTTACATCTGGAGACCTCCGCTCAACTCTTCCCACTGGCGACCTCGAGCTCATCTCACCTCACCGAGTTTAAGAGCTGATCAATTTTACAAGCCTTCGTTTAAGAGCCAACCATTTACGACTCCTCACACTCACAAGAATATGATTTAGGGATCGTTACATTATGCCTATGTTAAACTTACAAGGAGCTTAAGGGCTTTGCGACTTACCCATGTCGCCATCTATGAACTAGCAAAGCCCTATATAGGTTCGATTCAAGCATCGTTTAAGGTATAGGTAGTCTTTCCTCCTCCACAAATCAACGTGCAAGTTGTCTTCATTGTTCCTCCCATCAGGTAAGTTGATGGTCGCTCATTCTCCTTTTGAAGAACACTCAGAACACTCGCTCACCGGTACTCGTTACGTGCTCTCTACAATCGATCCATCACCGCAACTCAGGCTCACTTCTTCTCCTTTTCCGGTGACCTTATGGAAATAGAGAACGTCTTAGAGGTATATTCAGTCGACTCACAAAGTCCGTGTTAGGTTTTCTCAGCAAAGTGATCATCACCGCGATTTTCTATGTTAATCTCGGCTTAGTTGTTTGTACTCGATGACTTGCCTCTCCTCTTCTCTAAAGACCTAATTACGATATCTACAGGTAAGCATCACTCCACTGTTGACTCAAATTTATTCAATTTCTATTGAATTTACTATTCTCAAATTTATTGGAACACAACCATCAGATTCACTCACATACTTCATTCATTGGTGGTTGTGTAAATTGGGTTTTTGGTATTTTAACTTGTTTATGTTGTCATTGCTATGGAATATGCTCACAGATCTTAATGAAAATCCCGTAACCCCAATTTTGACTGGTCAACCAAACATTTAACCTTTAATCGAAGAAAATCTCAAAATTAAAGAACACCATAGAACAAATGACCCTTTAGACTGTCTCGATATTCAAAATTAATGGTGAATTTTGTTTGTTTTTGTCATTATGTTACTTATATACATAACCCTTTTTCGTTTTATATAATATTCTAAATTTCTATTTAGCAAAAACATGTTGACCTTGATGAATCTCTACAAGGATTCTGGGATGCATCGGTAGATCATTTAATTCAAAGATCTTCTCCTTTGCATTCCCAAATCCCAAATGCCGTTAGAGCTTGGATGCGCTTATTCCTACAGAATGGTAAACTTTGTAACCAAAAACGAACACTACGGAATGCAGAATAAAAACGACCTAGACAAAAAGTATGTAATTCTCAAATAATCTCCTAAATAAACTAGATCAGTTTTTATTCGGTTATTTATTTGTGTAAAGTAAACTTGAAGATGATGAAAAGTTGACCATTAAGTTGACTAGGATGAGCTTCCAAAGATCCTGGTCAAGTCAATGTACATTTCTTATCTTGCAGGTTGCTTCCGGTCTGTATGTTTCGGGTTAGAGGATTTTTTTCACTTCTTAATAAATGAAATTAAGTAGTCTATTTCCCCTATTGTCTTTTTTATGAAAATATCATTTTATATTGATCTCTTGTGGAACCTTCACCTCTGCATACAACCACAATTTTAAAAAAAAAAAAAAATGCACTCTTAAATTGATTGATAAACACATGTTATGACAAGCCACCAAGCCTTTGTCAACCTCCGTATACTATATAACGTAAGTAGATATATTTAACCTTCTAACTTTATTTTTTGTTGTAATCCACATGTTACAACCATTCTTGCATATTCAGGACTTAATCTTTCTGTTTCTCCTTAGATATGTTCACATGATTGACAATGATGTCCTCATTGTTACTAAAACTCTACATAAGAGAAATGTTTAAGAAATATTGGAGAAAATTCACCCTTTAGGTATGTTTGATAGGTAACCTATCCTTAAAACTCATTTTCTTGTTTTTTTCTTATTGTAATATTTTTATTTTTTGTTTTTCTTAAGTATTGCCATCCTGGCAGTTTCTCAGAATATGCATGAGCTCTATAGACCAGTACATGTGGATACACCACTTGCTCCATACTTTTCAGAGTGCATTACATCAGAGCATTTGGATGATATGCATATTGAGATTATGATAAATACCCTTTACAAGGCATATCTTGAAGATGTCTACCAGTTTTACCAGGTAAGCATGTACTTGTTATTTCTGAATTTACAAATATCATTTTAGATTATTAGGTCAAAAAAGAATTTTGGAACAGAACTAGGTGGTGCCACTGCAGAAATAATGTCTGACATTTTAGCCTTTGAGGCTAACAAAAGACCTGTTAATATCACCATAAACAGGTGCTTCCATTTCT